AATTAATTTTTAATTTTAATAAAAAATTTTAAAAGTTATAATATCAAATTAATATTTTAACCGTCGTTTCTCGGCATTTAAAGCAAAGGAGTCAATACCATACCATACCGTACCATACCGGCCGGTACGATTGGTACGTACCGGTTTTGAAAGTTAACCGAAACGGAATAAATTAAGATTTCGTTTCGGTCAAATTTCTGGTGTACCGATCAAATTCTGTGTACCGGCCGAAATTTCGGATACCGGCCAGTACATCGGATTTAACCATTACATTATGCAAGAAGGAAAAAAAAAAAAAAAGAATCCCCAGCCAAAACAACGTCGTTTTGGTTGGGGGGTGGCGGTAGGATACCCACGCGGTAACCCGATCAGGCGGCGGTAGTCCCTTGGATCCAGCAGGAGAGCCGCGGTGGGCGTCAGATCTGGCAGCCTTCGCGCTTGCCGCCACAGATCCGTCGAAGGAGAAAGAAGGCCGCCGGATCTGCACCGAACAGAACAAGAAACAACAAACAAACAAAGCAAACCAACATAGAAACAAACAAACCAAAAAAACCCACACAAAACAAAAAACAAAGCCAGATCAACGAAGGGATGGTGAAGATCCGAGGTGAAAGAACGGAGGTGATGGTGGCGATGGTGGATCTGCAGAAGGGAGAAAAATCAAGTTTTTTTTTTTCTGTTTTCTCCTTTTTTTTTCTTTTTTTCTTTTTTTGGGGTTTGGCAGCCGCACCTCTTCCTTCTCCCTTTAAAAGAGATGAAACTAGGGTTTTGTTAAATTTGGGTTTTGAAACAAACCCAGATAGAATATGCTAAAGCACACAACCCCAAATCATAGACTGAAACAGAAACTCAAAATCACAAGAAATTAAGAGAAAGAAACAGGAATCTTGAAATGGGGGAAAATACCAAATATATCAGAGACAAGAAGAATGGCAAACTGGGAATCAGGAGAGCCGGTGACATAGGACTTGAGGCCACCAATGACCAATCTCCTCAACATGGCCTCCTCCACTGTTGGGGTTCAATGTTGGTGGGTTCGAACTTTTGATGGGCTGCTCAATATTGGGCTAGGCTTATGAGTTTGTTTTAGTAAATTTCATCCTCAGCTTTTTTATTTTTTCAATTGAGTCCTTTTCTTGTTTTTTTTCTTCAACTTCTTCCCCAAATTTTTCATAAAATTTTTTTATAACGATAAATTCGAAACGGTACGCAAAAAATTTTGGTATCCGGTACGTACCGTTCCAGTAACAAAACCGGTACGCATACCAGTACGGTATTGACTATTTTGATTTAAAGTGCTTGAAAATCTTTTCCTGCGACACTTCTACCTTTTTTTTTTTCTTCGAGCATCTTCCCTCTTATTGAAGTGCCATAACATTCGAATGAGAGTTACACTAGAATCCAAAAAAAAAGGAAAAGGCCTGTTACATGAAAAGATTTAT